CACACTATAATGCTGCTCACACTATAATGCTGCTCACACTATAATGCTGCTCACACTATAATGCTGCTCACACTATAATGCCCTTCAGATCAGCTACAGTAGTTCGCAATGGATGAAATTCGTGTGGCTGAGTTCTACAATCTGATGACAGCAACAAGTTCAGATTAACAATTTATCATCGTAAATTGCAACATGAAACTCGAGGATTGTGAAAAATGATAATGAACGATAATGTTGATAATTTATACATGCAATAATTACCGATAAGATGAATACTTTATACATATTACATCATCATCTATACATATGGACTCTTATAGCTGACAGGTGACTCAATGATGGGGTGAGATGTGGTTAGGTTAAGTTAGGTTAAAGTTAGGTTAAGGTTACGTTAAGGTTAGGTTAAAGTTAGGTTAAAGTTAGGTTAAGGTTAGGTTAAGTTAGGTTAAAGTTAGGTTAAAGTTAGGTTAAGGTTACGTTAAAGTTAGGTTAAGGTTACGTTAAGGTTACGTTAAGGTTAGGTTAGGTTAAGTGATTAGTAACGTTGTTGGTATAGGGAAAAAATAAATGAAACAGGAAAGAAGATGTAAATGGGATGTTACTACTACTACTACTGCTACTACTACTACTACTACTAATAATAATAATCACACGGGCAGTAGAAAAGGTAAATTAAAACTGTGTTAAACATGTAGTGAAACAATAAAGTAATATCGACAGAAAGGAAGTTAAAAACAACAAAACAGAAAAAAAAATAGAAATCAAAGTACATAACAATTTTAAAATATAACCCTGATTTAAATACACCATATTAGAAACAATATGATATTCTACTTAATTAACAGCAGCTTGGCAGTCAGTTCAGAATATAGTGTGACGCCATTATATTAACAATAGGTAACTCTGTGAAGCATACGTGATCCAACTTATAAATAAAGGAATTTTTGCAAGCCCAGACAGACTCATTACGCCTCCATGTTGAGTGTGTGTGTGTGTGTGTGTGTGTGTGTTAGAGGTCACAGGTTAAACTCTCGCTTGTCTCATTAGTTACTTGTGTAGTGTATGGTGTATTACTATGAAATTCAACACCAGCAAGTGCAGCGTACTTAATATTGGAAGAACAAATACTTATAATGTATACAGCCTTAACAACATCAACCTAGAGAAGTCGACTTGTGAAAGAGACCTAGGGGTACTTGTAAGCCCGGACCTACGGCCTAGAAAACAGTGCGTTAATGTTCGAAATAAGGCAAACAGAATATTGGGTTTTATATCTAGAAGTGTAAGTAACAAGAGTGCAGAGGTCTTATTGCAACTATATCTTGCGCTAGTCAGGCCGCACCTCGATTATGCGGTTCAGTTCTGGTGCCCCTATTATAGAATGGATATAAATTCACTAGAGTCGGTGCAGCGAAGAATGACAAAAATGATTCCGGGACTTAGAAACCTTCCATATCAGGATAGGTTAAAGAAACTTAACTTGCATTCCCTAGAAAGACGAAGAGTGCGGGGAGATATGATAGAAGTATTTAAGTGGGTGAAAGGGGATATAGATAAAGTTCTTATAATATCCGAGCAGGATAGGACTCGGAGCAACGGATTCAAGTTGGATAAGTTTAGGTTTAGGAGGGAGATAGGAAGAAACTGTTTCACAAATAGGGTGGTGGACGAGTGGAACAAGCTTAGCAACTTTATAGTAAGTGCGGGAACTCTGGAAAGTTTCAAAAGGAGGCTAGATAGATTCATGGATGATAGAGAGTGGTAGTAACTCTCGACAGGAGCTGCCATGCACAGGCCAACCGGCCTATTGCAGACTCCTTATTTTCATATGTTCTTATGTATGTATGGGGGAAATAATGTTAATCTTGTACTTGAAGTTATTTAATATCAAGTTTGTATTTTCTCCAGTATTTTGTTTTGTTTACCTGGCCAGAATTATAATTAAGGTGTGATGTCAGTGTTTCGTCCAATTGTTTATTATTTTTCTTGCTGTTTAACTCTTTTAATATAGTCTTACAGCTTTTTTTATGTTTTAGTTATATTTAAGAAGTGTTATATTTTGCTGGGATATTTTATTTCTTTTTTTCTATTAATTTTCTCAAGGTTTGAACATGTACTGATGACCTGAGGTAAAAACATAAATGTCTATCATCTGCTTACTGGCCGCTGTGTATCTACTATATCATATTAATTAACTGTTAATGACCCTTAATATCTTAACGGCCTTAATACATGGAAAATCGGCATAATAAATCAGGTCGTGTTGGTCGTGGTTGAGAGGCGACGTACAGCGTTGGGTCAGTTTGTTTACACTTTGCTCACGTCTCCCGTCACCTCTACTCAGGTCGCGTGAAGTTAGCCCAATTTTATTCCACCTGATATAATTAACCCCCTTTAACAATAACCTTCCCTCCCTCCTCCAGGTAATATTAGGGTGTCTAATGATCAGGTGAAATAAGTTAGGGTGTCTAATTATCAGGTGATCTGGTTGTTCGTATCACAATAGTCACCTGAGTGTCTCTATAACTTAGGAAAGGTTAGAGGCATTCGTGTCGGCCCGTTGTTCCTCGCGAGGCTTGAGGTGTGATTAAGTGTTCTTATATACAGAAATCTTAATGAGAGAAGTTATAAGTGATAATGAAGGACTAGAAGTTAATGGTAAAGTAATATCAAATTATACGCTATACAGGTGATGTACGGCCCTTATCACAGATAGTTAAGAGGCATTACAAAAACTGGTTAACAGATTAGTGGTAAAAGTGAAGAATATGGTTTAAGAGTTAGAGGACTGTGGTCGTTAACTCTCAGATAAAGATTGATTGATATTATAGTAATGACGAAAAATAAGTGGAGTTAAGTCTTGGGACCTTTGTGAATCTCTTAGTGTTGACAGCATCCGATCGTCATTTGTCATCACCTTTGTTAGGTTAGGTCAAGTCAGGTTAGGTTTAGAATATGATAGAAAGAATATGATAAAAAAAATTTCATATTCCAATTAACTTTCCTCAACAGAAACATCATTTGGTGGAGAGGTTTGATGACAGCCTCAGGACATTACAGTGTATCTGGGAGTATGGAGGGAGCTAGAGCAGGTAGTCACACGATTTGGCTTCTAATTATAACCTGTAATTATGGGCCTACGCACCTGGACCACGGTTCTACTACACCTGTCATGTGATGCTGGTTATAGCTGTCAAATTTCTTTAGATATTTCTACACAAGTGAGACAAAATGATCTTGTTCACCGTTTAGTATTATTTTTATCATTATTATTATTAGTATTGTTATTATTATTATTATTATTATTATTATTATTATTATTATTATTATTATTTGTATTAGAAGTAATATTATCATCCATATCCGTCTACCTAACCCTTTTATACATCGGCGACAATTAATCAACTTACCTGGATAAATATCACCAAAATGCGGTAATAAATTTTAATGGAATGTTATTATATGCCCTTAACACAGGTGGGGCCAGGTGTTGACGAGGTAGGGAGCAAATAGTGATTATATATAGCTGTGTGACGGTGATAATTGTATAAACTGTGAATATTGTTTTGAAAATGATCCCTTATGGTAAAAAATGTCGAGAATTCGTTGTCATATTAGTTATATGTGTCAGACTGTCAGACGATGGGACCGAAGATACTAAAGTTGGTTGATTGATCATTAATGTTGAAGGAATCTTTGTAGACTAAAGTAATGAAGTGAATGTAATACTTTTTTTATAACATTCGGTTTTATAGTTTGTATATTGGGAGTTAGAAGGAGAAGAGTGGGGGAGGGGAGAGGAAGACGAGGTTTTCGCCTTGCTAGACAACATCCCGGGCCGTAAGATCCATAACATACCTTGTCCATTCTTCTGTAAAACTTCAGGTGTGTGTGTCGTGGTGTTGAGAGAAGGTCAAGAGATTAAAGACTCATTATTATTATGTTTAACTGTGATTATAATACCAGGAACTTGTTTAGCCCTTTATAATCCCGTGTTATATTATTGACCATTTCTCTTGCACAGTTTGTTCATGTATGGGACAGTGAGGGCATTAATCTTTTTCTGTTTGTAGTAGTGATTGCTGGCTCCTGTAGACGATGTAAATACTCAACAATAAGGGATACTTGTCTTACAATGTTTAATAATGACAATCATCATTAAATACACGTGTGAAACAGTTTGCTAACTCGTCTTTTGATTGTTTATTTGTGAGAAGAAATGCAGTAAATTAATTAAACTCCCTAAGTCCAGAATATTATCACAGGTATCATAGGTTAATTAGTTTCATCAGAGTAATGTCGGTTTCAACCTTTACGACGCTAACTGGCTCGTCTTACCTTTCACCATAATGCTATCTTAGTGTCGTCATTATCAAACTTCTTCTTCTGTTACTTCATAATAGCAAGTCACCTGGCTGTATGAACCAAGGCAGGAGTGACTGAGTGGCCTTCTATTTCACTGTTGTTTCTGTTGAGTCATTAGTCATTAACGACGCTAGAAGGGATTTTTTTTTCTCACTGAATGTTTATATATTTCAGTTGTGTAAATATTCCCAGCTATAATGGGCGTTTAAAATTAATATCTACGGTTACAATATGAGTTAAATCCTCGGTACACCAACACAAACAGCGCCTGGTTACTGTTTACCCCAGGCCAGGTGTGTGTGAGATGACTCCATCCATCCCTCACCTACGAATAACTTGACAAAATTGATTACCCATTATATAAATACGATATCTCGGTGTTGCTTGATAAATCTCAGAGTCAGTGTTGCATCAAGCGGGAACACTAACACACCACTCATAACGCTTTATCAAGAGAGTCCAGTGAGTGGATCTGTCACGACACAGCTCCACAACTTATACAGAAATCAACTCCCCAAAAAAGTTCATTCCCGCTATTCTGCATTTTTGTGGGAATCCAAAATAATACACGGAAATAGGGTTAATCTAATCGTCATCAAATTAAACCATCAAGGACATAATTAAGTCTTGATTACCTATGATTGAGTAAGATTATTATACCGATGAGCAGCGCTAATGTATGAGTGCGTTGAAGGCGGCGCGTAGAGAATAACGTCACAGTGTTTACATTCCAGCGACAGGAAGCGACACGTCCGTACACTACTGGGACTACCAACATACTGCTCTCTGCTCTCCCTCACTCTACTCAGCTGCCGGACTCGTTTTACACGCACGCACATACTCGCCACCTGCACGTGGACACACACACACACACACACACACGTAAAGAGTAACAGAGGAAAGGAATAATAGCATTTACTTCTCTCTCTCTCTCTCTCTCTCTCTCTTGCTAAACGTCATTTCACACAAAACGACTTCAGTCAGACAATCATTTCTGACATTTGTTTTAACATGAACTCAAAGAGGACTAATATAATGAAATACCTCCATAAAACATAGATAATATAATAATAATCAACACACGTAAATATATATCCACCTTTATTTGAGTATGCTGAGGTGAAAAGCAGGTTAACTCCACCTAACTCTCTTTTCCTGCCAATTACACGAAAGAAAACAGAGGCTGGGGGTGGGTAATGGTGTTGGCTTGAGGTAGACACAACACAACACACACACACACATGACCTTCAGCCAGAACACCCTACTCTACACTACACTTACACCCAGCGCAGTGTACAAGTGTTAGTAATACAACCTATACAAGTAGTAATGTATGATATAAAGTAGTAAAGTTATCCTCTACTACCGCGTCTCCAGCCCTTGCTCTCTACTGCACCCCTGCCCCTGTGTCCTTACTACCCCAGCTTGTGATTCATAAGCCACCCTCGCCTCATGAGTTGTTTGTTTATTTTATGGTGGGGTTTTAAATCACGTTTGAATATGCTATGTGGACGACAGGTGATTTAGTTCATTAATTTAACGAAGCGTCCAGAAAAAATCTTATTTGTGTTGATAAATTTTACAGGTGTTGGCAATTACTGGCTAGTCTGACATGTTGTTGCGCTGAGAGTGACCTATAGCGTGTATGTGTTTCCTGTTGATGATGAGACATATACACCTGAACACTCTACGATAGTTTACGAATTACGTTCCCTGTTTAACGAGAGACATTTAAGGTGATATCTGCAGCTTTGACTGAGAGAGTTAATGAATCAGCGAAGAAAAGAGAGAGAGATCTGAGAAACATGTCAACAGAAACGCTCAAATTGATTTTTCTATTTACCTCTCTTGATTAATGAGAAACATTCAGAATGCTAGCAGCTGTGACTAACTAAGGAAAGAATTTTATAAGTGAGAAACGAAACATTGAATATGAAAACGTGAACATTCCTAACCTATGTTATTTATGTCTTCTGGTTAATGAGAAACAATCACAGTGTTGCCGCAGTTGTGACGAATGGAAGAGAATGGAGTAACATAACTTAGTCGCTGGAGGGGGGTGTAGGACGCTGCTGGAGGGGGTGTAGGACGCTGCTGGAGGGGGGGCTGGAGGGGGTGTGGACGCTGCTGGAGGGGGGTGTTGGATGCTGCTGGAGGGGTTGTTGTTGGATGCTGCTGGGGGTGGGTGTTGGACGCTGCTGGGGGGTATAAGGGGCGCCTCTCTCGCCTCTGCGTCGTGGTGAGTTCTGCCTGTGTTTACTAGAGAGAGGAATCTGTGTTGTTTTAATTAAGTTTGATGGAATCTTTTAATGAAAGTTGTTTATCTTTGTTTTAACTTTGGCTCCCTCAGCTTGTTTTAATTAGGGCTTCCTCAGCTTGTTTTAATTAGGGGTCCCTCAGCTTGTTTTAACTAGGGCTTTCTCAGCTTGTTTTAACTAGGGCTTCCTCAGCTTGTTTTAATTAGGGGTCCCTCAGCTTGTTTTAACTAGGGCTTCCTCAGCTTGTTTTAACTAGGGCTTCCTCAGCTTGTTTTAATTAGGGGTCCCTCAGCTTGTTTTAATTAGGGCTTCCATCAGCTTGTTTTAACTAGGGCTTCCATCAGCTTGTTTTAACTTTGGCTCCCTCAGCTTGTTTTAACTAGGGCTTCCATCAGCTTGTTTTAACTAGGGTTAGCTCTCCCCTAACCCTGATTGCCCAATGGACACTCAACCCATTACCCAGACACGGGCGAAGGTCAAACACGGGCGAAGGTCAGACATGGGCCAAGGTCAGACATGGGCGAAGGTCAGACATGGGCGAAGGTCAGACACAGGCGAAGGTCAGACATGGGCGAAGGTCAGACACGGGCGAAGGTCAGACACGGGCGAAAGGTCAGACATGGGCGAAGGTCAGAAAAGTCATGGGCGAAAGGGTCAGACATGGGCGAAGGTCGGGCGAAGATGGGCGACAGGTCAGACACGAGGCAGAAGGGCGAAGGTCAGATATGGGCGAAGGTCAGACATGGGCGAAGGTCAGACATGGGCAGAAGGTCATGGGCGAAGGTTAGACATGGGCAAAGGTCAGAGGCGAAGGTCAGACACGCGAAGGTTAGACATGGGCGAAGGTCAGACATGGGCGAAGGTCAGATCGACAGGCAGGTCAGACATGGGCGAAGGTCAGACATGGGCGAAGGTCATGGAAAAGGTCAGACATGGGCGAAGGTCAGACACAGGCGAAGGTCAGACATGGGCGAAGGTTAGACATGGGCGAAGGGCGAAGCGTCAGACATGGCGAAGGTCAGGACATGGGCGAAGGTCAGACACAGGCGAAGGTCAGACATGGGCGAAGGTCAGACATGGGCGAAGGTCAGACACGGGCGAAGGTCAGACACGGGCGAAGGTCAGACACAGGCGAAGGTCAGACATGGGCGAAGGTCAGACATGGGCGAAGGTCAGACACGGGCGAAGGTCAGACACAGGCGAAGGTCAGACACGGGCGAAGGTCAGACACGGGCGAAGGTCAGACACGGGCGAAGGTCAGACACGGGCGAAGGTCAGACACAGGCGAAGGTCAGACATGGGCGAAGGTCAGACACGGGCGAAGGTCAGACACGGGCGAAGGTCACACAGGCACCTCCACCTTCTTCTTTATGATCATAGGCCCTGAGATTACTTCCCAACTAAGCTTATAACAGCCACCGATATTAGTTTCCAATCTCAGCTGAAAAACAGTCCTCATGATTCTACCCTCCAGTCACAGTCTTAAGTGGCGCTGTTCCTCTTCACTCCTAGTCCCCTGGGGCTGAACTAAACTCCCAAACATGGCCCCTCCAGACTAATTAAACAACCAAACAGTAAAACAAACCAATCAGACAGTTTTACCTAGTTTCCCAGAGCACTATTGACCCACAGCATCTAGTTCTAGTCGAAGGTGTTTGGTGCTTGGTGTCTCTGTCTGCTGTGTGGTGCTTGCTGCGTCTGCCTGTCTGCTGTGTGGTGCTTGCTGCGTCTGCCTGTCTGCTGTGTGGTGCTTGCTGCGTCTGCCTGTCTGCTGTGTGGTGCTTGCTGTGTCTGCTCTGTTCTGCTGTGTGGTGCTTGCTGCGTCTGTCTGCTGTGTGGTGCTTGCTGCGTCTGCTGTCTGCTGTGTGGTGCTTGCTGCGTCTGCCTGTCTGCTGTGTGGTGCTTGCTGCGTCTGCCTGTCTGCTGTGTGGTGCTTGCTGCGTCTGCCTGTCTGCTGTGTGGTGCTGTGTCTCTGCCTGCTGTGGTGCTTGCTGCGTCTGCCTGTCTGCTGTGGTGCTGCCAGTATTCTGCCTGTCTGCTGTGTGTGGTGCTTGCTGCGTCTGCCTGTCTGGATTGTCGGGTCATAGTTATCGGATATAAACAAGTGAGCAAGCAAGTCCTCTTATTATTGTGAGCTTGAGGGGAAGGTAGGGGTGAAGGGCTCAGTCAGTCTAGGGAGATTTATCTGTAATTCTCAGATCACGTGAAGAATAGCCTCCCCCTCCCCTTCAGCTTATTTCGTCTGATTAAACATCTTCATGTTTATTGGCCTAATCTAAACCTAACCTAACCTAACTCAATCTTAACTACTTCTACTCGAGAGTGGGTTTTGAATGCTTGGTAGCCCAGGGCAACACAGTGGTCGGGCTGGCTTGAACATTCCTCACGCTCGCCTCATCCAATGAAGTTTAGACGAAGAATTTTAATAGCTATAGCGTACCTTAGTGAGGGAAAATATTTCTTAGCATTCTTTACTAAGGCTATGGTAGAACTTTAGTGTAATAGCTGGATTAACCTGAAGATTAGCCACCCTAGTTTATTCCACCAGTTGATTAAACACTATAACGTTCCTTATACTTTGGAGAGTGTTAGGTTAGGTTAGGTTAGGTTAGGATAGGTTAGGTTAGGTTAGGTTAGGTTAGGTTTGGTTATCCCTCTGTGGTTGAAGTGTGGTGTGAGTGTTTGTTGTTATTGTCATCATGTAAGTAAACAACTGAGATGGTCTTTCTATACGGATCACATGTCTGTGTGTGTGTGTGTGTGTGTGTGTGTGTGTGTGTGTGTGTGTGTGTACGGAGGATAAGAATAAGTGGAAAACATTGATGCTGATGATGATGATGATGATGATGATGATCTATCTTTCTTTACTTCATTTTACACCGTTTTTACTCATCATTATTTCCCAGTCCCTTGTTACTCATTATTTTTCTTCTGTGTCGTAGTTTATTGATATTTACACCCGTGTCTTCTCTGTTCTACGCTTTAAAAACCAATCAAGCCTCGGGGCCACTAATTTCAATTATTCACAAACTTCTAATTAAACCATTACCAACTCTGGTGGATTACAGCCTCAAATTACGCATTATCATCCCCACCCCATTATTCTGGGGATTGATAAATGCCCCATCAATCACGGTATTAGTGATTGATGCTCTATTCACAACTTCTCCATTTATTCAATTTTACAATAATCTTCTTCCATATTCTGTTAATTTCTTCTTTAATAACTTTCAAAAAATTTTAATTGATATTTGATCTTAATTTCCATTCATTTTAACACGTGTAATATATTCTAATTTATTTTCTTGTGTTTATTTCTCTCTTTCCTCTCTCTCTCTCTCTCTCTCTCTCTCTCTCTCTCTCTCTCTCTCTCTCTCTCTCTCTCTCTCTCTCTCTCTCTCATTCTTTTTCATAATCTTCTAATCATTCATTAAGTTTCAATTATTACATTCAAACCAAAACACAATTGTGCTAGGCTATACATCAATTAGGCTAGGCTGTACAATAATTG